TTTGTCAGCTGTTTCAGTAGTACAGTCCTGCAGCTTTCCAGGTTCCTGTCATGTAAAAGCCTTCTGTGGTGTGTAGTAATAACCCAACGTAGTACACATTTATTCATGTGTGGTGCATTATTGTAAGCATAGGGTTTTGTTAAGTAACTCTTAAAAAGTGGTGATGCAAATGCTTATTATTTCCCATCTCCACCAAAAAAATGTTGAGACACAGAATTGGCTTGGATGCCAGAAACTCAGATAGTTTTTTAATCATACAGTAGAGTGCTTGCAGCAGTTTGTAAATTCCAGTATCACACTCTTTGCATGTTACCTTCCCTTGCAGTTACTAATTGTATTTGTCCAGGTCTTCCCAATGGGAGTAGACTCACTGGGCTGTGCACCCTTTTATAGTAGAATGTGCTTTTGATTACCTTTTTCTTACGGCTCTTCAGTATAATTTGTTGGTTCTTTTGCAACAATAAGCCCACAGTTCTCCATGCAGTTCAGCTGGCTTGTCCAGGCTTTAGCTTTTCTTGTTTACAGGCTTTAAACTAGATTCTTTCCATTCTGGCTTGTGGTTATTGCCTTCTTTGTCTTATTGATGTAAACATACAGAAACTGTAAACTCATCCTAAAGTCCTCACTGCAGCAAGAAATGATTAGTTATGTTTGAGTCTGAGTGTAGAAGAGTGAATTGACTGCCCCAAAATTTGGATGGATAGGAAAAAACTGTAATGGTTATCTGTAAGATCTTCATGGAAACAACTGTTAATGCTCCACGGTTACTTTGTAGGCTCTTCACAGGCTTTTCTGACTATTTATCTTGTTCTGTTTCTCCTGTGTTTTCATGATGATCATTCTTTTGAAGTTTAAAGTATTTAGTCTCCCATTGATGATTTTCTGATGTAATTTGAAGGCGAGGAAACTCTTAATTTGCATAGAGTGCAAAGAAACATATTTTTTCTGTTTCAGTGTACTTACAGCAGCAATACCTGGGTTGAAAACAGCTCTTTCCCAGAGAGTTCTAAGTTTGTATCTCTAAAGCCTGTTAATTTAATTGGCACTATCAGCATTTTGCAAATACATTCCCCTTGCCTTTTTTGGGACAAGCTTATTGAAGAGTGGGCTTATGCATGCACAATGTTGATTCCACACTATCATATGCGAGACCCTTCCATCTTAAAACAGTTAGAAAATACTCAAAAATTTCCCCTAAAAGTCTGCATCTTAGAAATGTTATAGTGTCTGCTCTAAGGTTGCATGCTTCTGAAACACTTGTGGACTTAAAGCATGTTTGCTCCATCAAGTAATGTGACAGAAGTAATGCTGAGTATTCATACTCAGCATACAAATGATTCACACACGAGGTGTGTCAAAGCAAATATAACCAGCTTACCTGTTAGATGATGCTGAAATATAATGCCATTTCTTTGTCATAAAGTGTAAAATGTGTGGTTATTCTCTTCACCAGAAATGTGAAAAAAGGCTTAATCCAAGAAGACTTCAAGATAACTTTGAAACAGGCAAGTGCAGTCAGAATTTTCCTCCACTGTCCTGTGCTACAGGCTGAAGGCACCCAAATAGTGATGGTTGAGGGCTTTTCCTCATGCCAACCTTCCAAATCTTATAAAGCCATGTTTTTCCAAGGTAGTCTGAGGTTTTGTTCATTTTTTAATGAAATATTACTGTTTCATGTTGGTCTTGCAATCTTTCTCCTTAATTATAAAGACTGAGTGATACACCAGGTGGCTGAGTAAAAAAGTATCTAAAAGCTAGTTTAGAAAAACAGCATCTGAGTCAACACAGTGCTGGTAATTGAGTGTTGTTTCAAGGCTTTCTGTCCTGCTAGTATTAAGCTGCAGCAGAATGCACGCAGTTCTTTACTTACTGCTCAGGAAACTGTGCCATTTTTTTTTCCTCCTTACTGAAAAATGACTATTGAGAAGTGAAACAGTATTATATATGTAAAACTGGCTATTGAAAGTGTTTCCAGGTTGCAGTGAAAATTTATTCTAGCCTCTAGACAACTTGTAAATATGGCTGCTTGAATTACCTTCTTCTGTTTATGACCAAGCATACAGGTTTTGTTATAAATATTATAAATATTTATATTAATTTATAAATAAATATTAATTGAACATAAGTTTGAGGTATGGCTTTGTGTTGTTATTGATACTTTCATTGGCAACTGCCCATTTAAAATTTGTTTCATACTTTTTTCTCTTTAAGCAGAAGCAGCATATGAGATGTGTTGCTCCAGCGAAGACCCACTGCCAGAACATGTAGAGGGACATTCTATGGCATGCAATGGCCATTACAAATTTGCTTTTTCATCAAGAGCTTTCTTGAGTTTCAAGTTTGACCATGATGCCATAATGAAAAGTTTTGACCTCTGACAGCAAACTTACTAGGAATAAGAATCAGAACTTGCCTGTTGCAATTGAGGGGGTTTCTTATCCAGCCTTACTCTTTCTCAGGAGTTTTTTATTTTGTTTTGTTTGTTTGTTTTTAAATGCAATGCAGGGACTGACTGCTGGTTTGGAAGGGTTTGTTCTTTTTGCAGTATGGGGAGTGGCATAGTCAAGTGTTGCACTTTAAATGCAGTCTAGCCTTTGTCCACAAAAGTACCTTTCCAATGTTCAGTTCACTTGTTCCTAGCTGTGCATTAGAGGGCATTCTTTTTACTTGTGTTTTGGTTTTTTTTGTGGTTTTTAAATTTTTTGTTACTTTAACTTGCTGTGTGTTTTGTAAAATGTCATTGACTTTTTTTTTCAACAGTTGGAGTATACCAGCTTGCTAACCTTTTAACCGTTCTGATGTAAATTATTGGACTTGTTAGTCATTATTTTGTAGGACATTGCAATATTATGCAGTGGCAATGAAACTAATTCTCAGAGGACACCTCTGTCCTAGTGATTTTGAAACCAAGTTGCACATTTCAAACCTAGCCTCAGCCTGTCATGCTTTCTCTGTACTGATTGTTTGCCCCAAATATCTTCCCTTCTTCACACTGATAGTTTTTGTTGGCTGGCAATCACTAGTACTTGAGTCAATTCTATAGCATGTTGACTTTTTGTACGTACTCTTCCTTGGTCTTTGATAATGACACTCAAACTGGGTAAAACTCAGCCCTTCAAAGTGTCTAACTTAGTTCTTGTGCACTGCCCGCAGCTGCATAAGAAGTTACAAAGCAGCTGCTTGCAAAAAAAGAGAAGCTTAAGCTTGTCTGTGAGAGGTTACTTGTTTAGAATATATACTGAATGTAAATAAGCCTCTGTAGAACTTGCTGAGGAGGAAGGCAGGTGTATGGATAATAGAGGCATTTTGTGACACTGAACAGCTTAATCAGGCTTCCAGTAACTATTCCAAGGGTGTTCAGTATTGTATTTTGTGCTGTTGTCCTCAGATCTCTTGTGTAGTGTATTTGCTCTGTATATATCCAGTAGTATTGAATTGCACTTGCAGTTAGCATTTAAATGATCTAGCCTCAGTCATTTTCAGCTACAGTGCTTTCTTAGGTAAAACATGAAAGATGGGGTGGGGATGGAGGAGAGGAACAAAAAACCTGTAAGAGGTGAGGTGATGAGCTGTTTGTTACATCACCTTTAAGTCAGTGGGTTTTGAGCACGTGCGTTACAGTGGAGAGAAATGCACTGAAATAATTTGTCACAGCAGCTTGTGATGGCAAGCATGTCCCAGATTTAAAAATGGACTTTTCTCTAGAATAGAGGTAATTGATAACTTCATAGGTTGAATGAACTACACCCTTGTAGTGTATGTACATGCACTGAGTTTTTATGCAACTCATATATGTCATCCAAAACCAAAATCCTGGTCTTCCTTCAACCACCCTACTTCATATACCCTACCTAGTGTTTTCCTCAGAAATAGCTTTAGAACTTTCTCCTGGTTTATTCACCTGCCTGACACCAGGTGATTTGGAACTCTAATGCTGTAATAATTTTGGCCATGGGAGTGTTCCAACTTCTGTATCAGTCAACAGGAGAAATGGACTACAGCATCTCCTCCTTCTGGAGGACAGGGGTTCTGAGGGCCTTGTTTTTCAAGACCAAATTGTGAAATAGCTTGATCTAGTTTTGACTTACTTTTTTTTTTTTTTTCCTTTTTTTCTTTTTTTTTTCTTAAACATATCCAAAGGCCATACAATGACAAAGAAGAGTAATTGAGAAGGTAGGATAATGCTGGAGGAGGTTACGTTATTCAGCTTCAGGTGAAAACTAATCTTTAGTTACTTCTTTGTGTTATTTTAGTTGATTTCCCAGCAAAAGTGCCTTTACTCATGGTGAGGCAGAAGTTTGTATCATATCCTGAGGCTGCTACTGCCTGTGGAGTTAGCGGGACTCTCCTAAGGCATAATTTAATAACAGGCTGTGGAAATCTTTTTATAAATAAGTTGACTTTTCAGATAAATTAGTTATAGATCATTTAGTGCTCTGTGAAATAATGGGGATGTTGATGAAACAGTGAACTTGGAGCATCTGTCATCTGTTTGGGAAGTCCTGTCCCAGGCAAGAGGAAGTCTTTAGAACAATGGGAGCATGTCCTATGAACAGGAGATGCTGGCTGCCCTCTGTTTACTGTGTCATTTTTTTCTTCTTAGTGAAAGGTTGGTTCAGTGTAAGAGACATGGGCTGCTTCATTAAGCAACCCAAAGTGAAGCTTATACATATGTCATTGATTTTAGTAAACCTAGCCTTAATGTGAGTTGCAAATAAATGTGATAAATATGCAATAACTTACTTCTTTGTATAAGGGTACTGTTTCCTGTAGTAGCATCGCTTTCTGCTTTCTTAGTAAGGTTTATCCTAAAACTATGTAAGTGTGGTGGCATGTGATCCACTTGGTGGGCTCCATCATGCCCTGCACCATGAACATTTTGTTTACTGTTGTTTATGTTCTTACTTCACCATCCCTTTGTAATTGTATTTCTAAGTTTAGAAGTACTGTTTACATTATCTTCCATAAAACAGTGAAGAAATATCAAGTGAGATACAGGCTTTAGTTCTGTGAGTTTTTACTTTACAGGAGCTAGACACAGGGAATTAGGAGCTGTTTGCATGTCTGACTCAAGAGCTGGAGTCAAGATACTTGAAAAACAAACACTGTCAGTTTGAGAATGCTGCCATGTTAGGGGTTATTCAGATAATGAATGGTCAGTCAGTGTTCTTAGAATCAACTTGCAGAGTAAACAAATATTTAGCAAAAATACCTACAGCTGTGTGGTGCTAGGAATCTGGTACTAGTGTGCAGTTTCTAGTACGACATCAACTCCCTGCTTTAGAATGAGGTTTTATCATCTCTCCTCAGAATGCTTCTATACCTTGGACTGAAGAGTGGCCTGCCCAGTTAAGTGACTGGAGTGCTGCTCACTTCAGCTCCTTGATGTGTATCAATGATCCAGCTTTTGAAAGTAACTGTGTCTTGCATAGTTTGAAGTCTGGCAACAGTGGTTCTAGGAAGGAGAGGGGGAAAATAGCTTTATTTATTGCACAATCAAAGCATTATTTTTTAACACAATATAAATTCTTTAGACCAAACATTCATAAATAGTTTCTAATGACATTTTGGGCCTAATCACTGTTCCAGGCTTCTGTGCTGTGCTCCAACCTTCCTGAACTAATTTGGTGATTTGAGAACAATACTTAGTGATTTTCCTTCACCTACCTGTAGCTGTTATAGATGTAACAGTTTCTTTTAAAAACAAGGCAGGCTTTGGGTCTGGCTGCTTCTAACATACTTGCTCTCAGATTGTAATTTCAGATAAGAACACAGTTCTTCCAACCTTTACTTAATGTGGTAATTTGCTTTTGCACTCATGCCATTATGGTGTGAAGAGCAAAGAGTCCACATTAAGAAGAATCCAAACTCCAATATCCTGTGGTGCAATACAGCACTGCTGCTCCAGGGGTAACTGGCTACCCAGTTGTGAAGTCAGTGGGCTGTTTAATCCTCAGATACTTGGGTTTTGTTACAAATTCTGAGCAACAGGTTTCTCTTCCAGAGGTAAAGCCAGGTGCCTTCATATTTGAAGTTAGGCGGTTATATTCTAAATGTGTTAGGAAACTCATAGTTATTGAGAAGTAGTAGAGTAGTCTCTTTTGTTGATACTGATTTCTGTAAATAAACTGATTTTAAGTCTTGCACTGTAAATGTTAATCTGGTGCTTATACACAACTTCATAATTTCAAATTGTTTTTGTTATTACAATATTTCAGCTTTTGAAACAACCAAAATTATTTAAGATATGGTAAATTTATACAAACTAACTGAAGGTGCTTTTAAAGTAAATTAGACTTAAAAACTCTTCCATAATAGGTTTTTGTTCATATGCATTTATAGCAATAGTGTAGTTCAAGAATGGAAGTAGGCTAAATGCTAGTATTTGCACTGTTCTTAATCTCATATGTGAGCACTGATAGATGCAGTAGGATTTGTGCTGTGTGTGCATTTCACTTTTTCATGTAGCTTGTGAACTTAAAAGGAAGTCAACATTAAACAACGATGACATTGGCCATATTCAAGATTGTACCAGAGGAATTATTCTGGATTGGTAGCAGTACAATAAAACAAAATACTTGGGGTTTAACTTGTCTTTCTATTGAACATATTGGGTTCAGCAAGACTTAACTTTTTTGTACAGATTCAGCTTTACAGAAACCCTTATCTTTAAATTGTTCTCAGCTCTAGCTGCTTCTGGGGAGTCAAAAATTCTTTGAGTCCTCCTTCAGTTCTTCCAGGGAAAAAAGCACTTCCTTTTAAGTAATTGTTAACATTTCACAGAATACACAGAATGTTTAAATTTGGAAAGGTCTCTATGGATTTTACTGAAAACAGAGTATTTTGTCATTTCTAAGCATTTATATTGTTGATCAGAAGAACTAGCTTCTTGTTTCCAGTTTGGGTTACATTTCAGTGCCTTTAAGAAAATGATTACAGCTCATGGAGCATGAATCATTTTAAAATAAGGCATTCATAGCTTTTTACGAAAACACATTCTGCAAACAGACTTTTCTATGACACATTTCCAATGGTGAGAACTTCGCAAATTTTTCTTAAGCATGTTTGATCAAAATTACTAAACTGTGGGGATGAAATTTGTATCTTACTGGTTGGGTACATAATTTTGTTATGCAGAAAAAGTATGGAAAACTGCATGATTAAGAGCTCTCAGCAAATACTTCTCACGACAATACTTGCAACAGAACTTTACTGTGTTTGCATGGCACTGCAGTATGTGGAAGTTGAACTTCATCCCTGAGGAGCAGTTTAGCTGGGTTGCAAGGCACTTTTACCATTAAAAAGCAAAACAGACCCCCTGAAGAAGGTTGGTGGTTGTAATTCAGGCAGAATGCTTGATTGGTGTTCATGTTCCAGGACCCAGATTTGGGTATTGCTTCCAAATAATGACACTTTTCAGGGCAGCACTGCATGCCTCGCAGAAAACAGGAGCCAGTGCTTTGTGGTGTGGCTCAGGCATGAAGGGTTATGTCTTCCTCATGTTTGTTTAAAGCTCAAGAACTTGATCTGTTTTCCTCTGTGTTTTAAGTGGCACATTGGTGCTAATTAAGTAGAAAGTACGTACAGCTAAAGAGTTAAAATCATTACAGATTTTATTCAACTTCCATTATGTTCTTTTGAAGAAAGTTTGCATTAGTCAACTCTTCAATTGTATTAAGTAAAGTCTGTAACTACCTGTAACATCCACTGTACTGATGATTGTGATTTTGTTTGTTATGAATTGATTCAAAACTGAAGCACACCATTTAAGAGACTTTGACTAAGTTGACATTTTCTTCTATATTGTTATTTTTTCCTCTGTAAAGTTAAGTTACTTTATAAATAAACGTATTGAAGTACTGAAGTATGAATATAAGGATTGCTGGTCATTGTGAAATATGATGCCTGTACTGCTGATACAGGTTATTCTTTCACTGTTGAATGTTTGTGTTGCCTTAAGCCAGCAGTGATTATACCTAGTGCCGGGAAAGGAAGTATTTTTTGAAGTCAGTTGTAAAGGTGGATAATGAACCCATTCAACACAATGAAAAAAAAGTGTTAGACAAATGAGAAAGGAAGTACGTGAACTCCACTCAGTTTTTTTGAACATTTATGTAATATTGGGTGTTGTTTTCTTTTCTGTTTGGTCCGTAACTTCTTACTGAAAGAACGGGATGTGTGGTAACAGTTTCACATGCACCCTTCCATTTCTATAAAGTGTTCATTGAAGATGTAGAGGGTTCGTGGAAAGAAGTACTGATGTTCTTCAGCCTAGATAAAACCTGTGGCCAGATCAGAGTTCTTAACTTTTCATCGATCTATTAAGTGAACTTTACTGACCATCTAAAAGCATTTCCCTCAGTAATTTAGCTTGGAGATGAGATACTGGTGTGCCAAGTATCTTTAGGCAGTCCCGTTCAACAGTAAGGCGACAAGCCATGCTGAAACAACTCCCAAGGCAAAGAAACAGCATTAGAAATTTATTCAGAATATAAGAACATTTGTAAAATAAGTATTATAAATGCCTCTGTATAAATAAATGCAGTTTTTACAATTCTATATCAAATGAACACAAAATAGCTATTTTACAGGTGCTAGGAAATTAAAAGGTAGCAATACATTTAAAGCTAATTCAGTAAGGTAAAAAGTTTCTAAAGTTACAATGCATGGTGCAGTATTAAAGGAGGAGAAAATTCTAATAAAACCAGTAGAACATGACATGAATGCAAATTTAGTCACATGTGCTTTGCAATAGTTAACCGTACATTAAAGCTGGTGAAGATTTGTGCATCACAGAAATAATTTTTTTTTCTGAGCACTCTGAAATACAAAGTTTCGTGCACTCTGGTGTCTTAAGAAAATCAAAAGAAGTCCAATCAGTAATTCATGAATAGACTTAGGTTGTTAAGAATCACCTGTTTTTCTTGCTTTGCAAATTTATTATTTCTGCAACAAGTGTTAAGAGATTTAAATTGCTCTAACTCATGGTGCACTGCACACTTGGGTATTTCTGGTGTGCTGGTACTTCAGAGTTGCATGAAAGGAGTTTGAGGGGTTTTTGGCATTTTTTCTGCAGGTTGGTGCCATTTTAATGGGGGACACTGGAGCTGCAGTTGATTATCATTATTGAGCAGTTTTCACAGGAACATGAAACCTGTGACCACTCCTCTGTTGATCCTTTCCAGCATACCAACAAACGGGGCAGTAGGTGCCTGCTGAGGCAAATAAATCAACTGGTAGTCTGGCAAACTATGGCTACTGCTGAGGCTGGATGGTACCAATGCTGCTTTTTCACCTACAACCCTTATGGGAAAAAATGGGAGTGGTTTACATTTACTGGTGATTTGTAATTTATTCTAAAGCCCTTCTAGAGTACAGTTGGCACAGAAGATTCGTGCTAAATCTAGTGAAATAATCAGCAAATTGTCAGGCCTGGGAAAAGCACTGAGGCTGCAGTGTTTTATGCCTCTGTGTATCTGAATTCTTTAATGGAAGAAACTCTTCTGTGTGAGGGTGCTGAGGCACTGGCCCAGCTTGCCCAGAGGAATTGTGGTTGCCCCATCCCTGGAATGTTCAAGGCCAGGTTGGATGGGGCTTGGAGCAACCTGGTCCAGTGGAAGATGTCCCTGCCCACAGAAAGGGATTGTAACGAGATGATTTTTAGGGTGCTTTCCAACCCAAATCATCCTTTAATTCCATTATTCTAAATAGGGGAAAAGAATTAGCTGAAGAGGCAGCCCAGTGCAGTATGGTTGCTGTTCTCTCCAGTGACAGGTATTTCACATGGACATTCTGAGGTGACCTCAAGTAACATGGGTGTTTCAGATGCCAAAACACAAAAGTGTAACCGCATTTTTGCCCAGCACATGGTGCATACTTTGTGTTTCTTCAGAACAAGTGTGCTCAGGTACCACTAAAGCTGATGGCAAACCCCCACCTCCCTGGACATGAGAAATTGGGACAAAAAATGGGAAAACACCATAGAGAGCTGCTAAGCAGAACCATAAAGACAGAAGAAATCAATGTGCCTCCTCCTTCAAGAGACTAATTATAAATTAAGAAGTGCAATTATTCTGAGAAAGAGGACCAATCAAAACCAGAATATGACTACCTAAAAATTTTGAAATCAGCACTGTTTAATCTGCTGTTGCAATCAATTATGTGTGATGCTGGCTTTGTGGATGATGTGCTAGATTCCCAAGAAGTAGGAATGACTACTCTAAAGACAGAAGACAACAGCAGCTACAGTAGTAAGAGAAGTAAAACCAACCGCTACAGTTCCAGACGTAAGCAAGACTTAACAATAATGCCACATTCTGAAGACAAATTCTCACAACTATATTGTCTGACTGATCTAACCCAGTAGCAGGCAAAAAAAGTCCTCTAAAGGTATTTCCTTAGTACAGGTAATGGGAGGAATAATTCTGAATACACTAGTAAAAAACTTGAGGCGCAACTCAACATGTAAAGCAAAAACAATAAACATCTCCTGAAATCAGATTCACTGGAAATCAGCCTGGAAAATGCACAGCAGAGGCGTAACACAGCAGCAGGCAAGCACAGTGAAGGGACTATAGCTTGCCTATTTTTAAAACACACATGAAGCCGTTTTATGTACTCTGTCAAAAAAACCCAAATTCTGAATATATCAAGTGCTACGGAAGACTCCTGTATTTTCATCCCTACAGAAATCTACCTGATCCCCATGATTTGCTTAATGTTCATTAATCTAAAAAGCTGAAATTTGCACTTCAGTCAGTTTGATAATACAGTAATAGTGCGATTTAAACAAGAGAATGTTAGCAGTAACAAAACTAACCTAAGAAGCTGTAAGACTTCACCGTTCACATTCTGTTTGTGGCTGGATATCCATACGTCTACACATTTATTTTATTTATACACATTTTATTTTCTGCTTATGTATTCAATATTAAACAGGTACATTACTTAAGTACCTTTTTTGGGTCAAAAAAAGTATAGAAAGAAGACATTCTACCTCTTGATCACAGTAAGCTGAAATAAGCACAACACACGTAACAAAAATGGCCCGGCCTCTTAAAGAAAACCTTGGATATGGTGTATATATAGCAAGAGAAACCAACTGTTTTTATGAAGTAGTTGCAAACACCATGCCATATAAATACCAAGAGGTCTTCTGTAATTCCCTACCCACCCTTGGCACAGACTGTCTCTCTGGCGTGGTGAAACCCACAGCCTTTGGCCCTCTTATGCACTGTAAAAATTACACCTTTATCATAATTCACAGTGGTGCAACTACGTTTTCTTGCTTTTTTCCCCACATCAGCAGGAGTTTTCCTACCTGACCTGCACTGTGAGCAGAACTGCAAGCAGGGTGCAAAGAAAAAGCCAGCCAGGCTGTCATCCCCATTCTGCAGCTGCCTGTTTGGTGGTATAACCACAACAGTGAGTCTCGAGGGTACAGAATGGACTTGTGTGCAGAGAGAGCTCAGGGACTGGGAAAACTCTCACATGATCTCCAAACTACTCAAATAAAAACCTCTGAACATGAATTATTCTGCTGCATGATGCTGTCACCCACGAGCCATCAATAAAATGGAAGAGAAGCTGTATGAATACACAGACAATGTACACAATTATAGCATGATAATTCAGGCACTGCCATTTTACATTATGAAACAGTTCTTAAGGTTAACACTTTTATTATCCCCATGACACCTCTCTAGGATCCCAGAGAAGGTGCTTTTAAATTTTGTCAGCATTGACAGTCAGAGCTTTTAACATTTGAAGCTACCTAAAAGTCAACCTCCAAAAGAAAGAAAGTTGTAATGGCACTAAGCATCCTTTAAAGAGATGCATTTAAAGTGAAGTTTCATTGGTGTGTGGTCTGGAGTTCTCTTCTTCCAGTAAAGCTATTCTTTGTTTGAGCATTCTTACTTGGGTTTCATGTCTCTCCACCATGGCCATCATTTGTGATTCCAGTTTCTTCAGCTTGTTTTGATGCTTTTTCTTTGCTTTTTCATAAGCTGCTACCAAGTTGCTGTTAAAACACAAGGCATACAAGGTAATTCAAACAGGCTTGTCCAGAGCAAGTGCTACAAAAAATCTACCCCCAAAGCCTCACCTTCAGGGAACTTCAAAGGCTGGGTATTGATCCCCTTCCCAAAGTTTACCACTGCTTTAAAATGGATTAGATCCAAACCCTGATCAATGCTAATGTCTCTGTCTTTCCTGGGGGAAGCACACACCTTTACCAGTAAACTGATAAAAAAAACTAAACATGGTTCAAAGAAGCAGATGGAGGTTGCTGTTGATGACCTCTCATACCACTGTTTATGAGTCAATATACCACAGTATCATATATGATTTATAAAAACATTACATGGCCAGAATCTGCTTAGAAAGTCAAGGACTGACTTTGCATTTTCCGTGTTAAAGAAGTAAGGTTTACATTCGGAGGATGGCATCTTGTGCTAATTTGCTAGCTGCTGAGTAGCTTCCAGGCCTCCACCTTGACTGGCTTGGAACGCTTGAAATGGGTGGTGCTTCTTACCACAAAGGCTTTTAAATACAATTCAAGGAAAAACACATTGTGAGAGAGAGGCTGCTTGCAAGAAGGGTAGCTGCAGTCCACAATATTCCTAGGCCATCCAAAGAGACTTCAAGAAACATGCCCTGAGTGAGCAACAGAACTCAGGTGTCATTATCCAAGACAGTTTATTAATGAAGAGGTTGAAGCCAAAGAATAGGGAGCAGTTAAAAATAAAGTAACAGATAAATAAATCTTATTTTTGCTTGTTTTTCTAATTGTGCAATCACTAGTAGTAACTCAGTTGAGATTAACCTATTTCCCTGCTTTCTATTCTTAACTTTGTAGTTGTCAGTGACCTACACAAGAGGTTTACACCTCCCTCTTTCTCTAACTATAACCTTGGACTGTTGACATGTGGATGGAACGTTAGGATCCTGAAACATCTCATTAAGGTAAGTGGAATATTACAGTGCCTTGCAAGAACACAGCAAAAATAAACCAATAGTGCACCCATCTGCTGGTGTTTACCTGTTTGCCCTTTTAAGGTCATTAACAAATTCTGCAGACTGCTGATGTCTGATTTCACTGCTCTTCGTGAGTCTCTCCAAGGCACTCACTAACTCCTGCACTCTTGCTTTCAGTTTCTTCTCCCTGGATCAGAAGAAATGGAGGTAGAAAACTATTTTCAAAACAGAAATAGCACTTCAGCTTGGAAGTGTATCAACAATTGTCCCGTGCTGGGTTGAACATGCTGCAAATATTTTCTTTACTACTATTGGGATGATACAGGAGGTAGTTCTTATATTGAACTTTTCAAAAAAAATGGTATTTATAACATTCACCATTTTAGAATTCAGGATCAGAGTAAATAAACTTCTCTGGTAGATCATGGTGTTGTATGCATTGAATCACACTTAGAAATAAGCACAAAGATACATTAAAAAAAAAAAATAAAATGTGAATGTAGTTACTCATACTTACTTGCCAACTCTGAACCAAAAGCTAATCACATGAAGTGTGACAAAATGGAAATAAGGTATCTTATGATATTTTCACATTACAAGTAACTCTATGAGGGAAAGAAAAAGTGAACAAGACAGAAGTTCTGGGCCGGAGCAAGCATTACTGCCTGGGGATTAAGCTGGGTTTAAAAAGCATTTCCCAAGTAAGGATGTGGTATGAAGCAGGTGCTTCTTCCTGGGGAGCTCCCTGCTGCAGAGCTGATGGCTGATGCTTGCTCAGCCCACTCCTACACACACATAGGACTGTTCCATGAGTTTTTCCTGTGACCCAAGCTCTGCACAGATAGCCCAGAGAAAAAAAATTAAGATTTGGAAGCGGGGAAAAACAAACAAACAAACAAACAACAATAAAGAGATGTTTAAAGAATTACATGGAGCTGGGCTTAGCTGGAACACAGATTTTGCGGCATCAAATCCTGGGGATCAAATCTGGGGAACTTCATATGTTAACATGGAGTCTGTGTTTTGCTGCCTAGAACTGCTCTGCAGTGATCCACCTCTCTCTCCCTCCTGCTTTGTTGCAGTGCTGCTACGTGAGTACAACACTTGTTTTCACCTCAAAAACGAGACAGCTGCCAGCTCCCATATAGGCCCAATGGGAATGAATACCCTGAAGTTTGTGAAAGCTATCCCAGCCCTGCAGAGACCACACAGATCCTGGAATCTGAGCTCAGCAGCCTGCAATTCCCAGGAAGGCCTGGATATGGCAGCCTTTTATCAACAGAGAGAGGGTCAGCACCCAGCTCCAGCAGCAACAGAAGGGCTTTCACAAAGTCAGCCAGGGAAATATTCCAAGTTAGCAGTCTATCCCAACAGACTCAGGTGCTGGGTTACCAGACAAATTAGAAAGGACATAAGAGGGCCCTTGTTGATGAAGAATCATCAGTATTCTCTGTACATCCCTTCACTGAAGGAACACGCTCTCTGCTTTCAAGTAATGCAATCCTTCTCCCCTGCAGTTCACTGCCATCCATCCCAAATGTAAATCTTAATTTTTATATTCTGTCTCAGCAGTCAGAAAGGCTCGGCACAGTCTACAGCCAAAATCTGTTTTCTGCAAGGAAAACAGGAAGAAAAAGAGCCAGGACTCAAACAAGAAGATCAGATGTGGCAGAGGCCAGACCTAATGCATTTGTGGCACTACTGATGTGACAGAACAGAGTAGAGGTAAATTTGGTGCTTCTCTGATCCAAAGCTTGCTACATCCAGAGGCTCTGGGAAAGGCTCAGTAGCACCATTTCCAGTGTGATGATGTGAACAGCAAGTCCAGTGGAATAAACATGAACAGTGTCTGGATGGGCAGAGAAATCTCAAAACTGTGAGGCTGACTTAACATCATGTGCAAGAAAAGGTATCGTGGAAACACTGCACAGTCCCACAGGAAAGAGCCCTGTAGAGCCACAGTTCACTGCAGCTAAAGTCCTTCACTCACATCTGTTGTAAAAAAAGCTGCATGGAAAAGATACACAGTGGAAGGACTTTGAGGAACTTTTCATACATGGTAAACTTTGATTGCTGTGGTAACTGTTAATTAATATAAATTAATTAACATACATATATATTATTAACATATTATTTAATTAATATAAATATATATATAATATAATATATTATATTATATATATATAATATATTATATATATAATATAAACATTTAATATAAATTATATAAAATTATATCCTTTTGCCGCTTTTTCACTCACAGTTTTCAACCAGCCCTGTTCACCTAAACATCAAGCTGTATTTCTTTACATTTGGTCTACAAGATCCTTGTCTTGCTGCTTGTCAAAGGCACAGAGCCAGCAGAGTGGTAAGCACCCTGTTCAAGCTACTTAAACGTCTTTCAGATGACAGTTCTGAACCATCTAGCCAAACAGGAAATAGTGGCTAATACTTCAAATCTATAGATGACTCAAATTTACACTGGCACTAGTAAAATACATTTCTTTCGGCTTTTCATGATGTCTTGAAGTCAGTGAAAACACTAGGTAATACCTACTCAACCTTAATCTCACAGAAAGCAATTAGTGGTTTGATTGTATGTGCTGAAAAGTCAAAAAAATCTGAAAAAAACAACACACAGGTATCTACTTTTGCACCTGTTCCTAGTTTTAAAACTGCCTACCTTCAAGAGACATTTCATAGAACAAGTCATATCTGAGGAGCCACACAGCAGCAACAGTAAAGGCAGAGCAAACACCACGGTTTACTCTGGGAAATTAAGACGCACTGGATATTAATCTATTACACACTAAAACATCTTACTGATGTAGGCACAGCCTGCTGCTGCCTGACAGTCTTTCAGAGTCCAAGATCCAAACTCCCATGGAAGCGGACACAGCAAACTCATGCTGCTGTTGTGCCCCAGGGGTGTAATATGGGCCTCTGTGTATCCCAAGAAAGCACTTATCTGTGTATTTTGCTGGGAAGAGGGAAGGGGAAGTGATTGAATTTCAGAGAACACAAACTCTGCAGAGCCCCCGACTCACTCTCTATTGGATTGCAGAAGTCAGCAGAGCTTCCTACCCCTTACAACAGCTCTTCCTCCAAGTGGCAACCGCAAGCTGGGGCTGCACAGACACAACATTTCGTGTACACAGAGAAAATGAGCAAGTTCTCAGAAGAGGGAACAAGCCTATGATCTGAGGGCATGGCACACTTCCAGCACAAGGGCTCTCTGCTGCTGAGAAGTCAGCTGGGGAAATCCCTGACTGCTCCCTTTCCAGGGAAAAGCTCAGAATGAGTGCATTCAAAGGCCTACAGCCTATAACATCCGCTAAAAACACTATTTTCAGTGAAATGCCTAATATGCTGGTAATAAAGGCTTTTGTTTGGTATTTTCACTATCAAAACACTCAGTGGGCAGTTGCATAGTGGTTTTCAATGACTTTTTGTTTCAGGATGGCTGAATAGGAAGGGGCTAACTCATGTTCTCTGGTTTCAATGCTACAACTTTGGAGAGTGGGGAATTCTGCCAGGGCCATTAAGGAAACTATTTCTGTAAATTTGGCCTCCACACATTGACACAATGTTTGACACACAGTAATTTATGCAAGGTCACCTTATATTTTCTCTCCTGTCTGGGCTTTTCCAGACATGTTCAGGTTTCACGTGCTAGAATTCTTCCCAGATTTCCCTCTTCTTGCTGATTTCATTGAAAATTCCCCAGTGCTGCAATCAGGAAGCTGCCCTTCTCTGGCATGCAGAAAGTTAATTTTTCTGGCCCTGGCTTGGAGGGCACCCAGCTAACTCCCCTTCATATGAAACCACCAGCTAACACCCCTCTGTCCTGGGGTCAAGAGCACCACAGCTCTTGCCAAATCTGAAGAAAAAGAGGAACAATGAGTTCTCTCCAAATGAAGAGCTGAGAAACTTTCATGAAACCAGGCAGAGGACTCTTGCCATCCCTAGGGTGCATCTTCTTACCCATCAGAAGAGATCTGCTGTGGGCAGATCTCTTCAAATTCCGGCTTCCCCGAGGAGTGGGATGACCAGGTTCAGCCCAACACCTGCCTCTGAGCTCTGCAGGCACAAAGCCCTGACACAGCAGCACCAGCAGCAGCCAGCCCAGGGGGACAGAGGATTCCTGGCAGAGTTACCCAGCTATTCATGCTGGCAGAGCAGCCACCACGGGGGTGGGGAAGAGGAGGGAGGGAAAGCACCTCCTGCACAATCCACAGCTATCTGCAGGGCCCCTGCTTTGAAGGGAAGACACACACCTCTCATCCCACACTCCTACTCCTTCCCTGATATCCTCCTGCTGTAGTGAGCCCAGCACCATCCCTCATTCCCCTCTCTGACTTTTCCAGTTGAACAGGGTGACACATGATTGTTTTTCCTAGGCATTTGACTCCTCTCAGGAGATAACAGCTGGACATTTAAAAGGAATGCAGATAAATTCTCTTTTCATCAGCAGTCTAAAATAACATCAGACTGGCATGCAGAATCCCCAAGCTAATTCAAATGCATGCCTGCCTCACTGGTCTGGCTTGGTCTACTAAGGGAAACAACCAGAATGTAATAAATGTTTTAAAGAGGCAACAAAGCAGAGCTCCACAAATGCCAAGAGAACCACCCTCTTCAAATGCCATGTTTTGCTGGCTCACCTGCTGAAGCACCATCTGTGCTTGCCAGCTACCCGTGCACAGGAGGCCTTTCCGGACTGCAGAGGTGTCAAAGGGTGCTTTAAAAACCGCTTTGCTAGTGTATACTGTACTGCTTTTTTTGCTGATTGCCAAGATGCTCAGAACAGATCTCAAAAACCAGGCAGTATCCCAGGCATGTGTTGCATGCAGTGGGGAGACAGCCTAGGTGTAGTCCTGGAAGCAACATACTGGCAGCAAAAGGGCGAACAGCCCTGGAGGGAGGTAGCAGCATGACTGCCACACTCACTGCTCAAACCTCCCACCCAGTTTTGCCAGCCCAGCCTGGAACCTCTCCAGACCTGGAGCTATTTGGAGCATCCTGTGACAATTATATCCAAGTGCACAGCAGCTCAACAGTTCAGATAACCACATGGTGGTAAGAACTACTTACTCCGTGTCAAAAATTGAGAAAAAGACAAATTATGGTTGTCTGTGAGGCATATGGTAAAAATAGTTACTTGAGGTGCTTCTAAGGAATCTGTCCCTGATATCACCATGAGTCACTTCTCTTCTTGTGAGAAGCTAAACGTTGCCCTGCCACCACCCCACCCACCAAGGGGAAACCACAGCAGGGTACTGCAGTCACAAAAATGAGACTGAAATTTTTGATGACTGCAAGCCATACTAGTGTCTGGCTAAAATGCCTCAAATTTGCTTATCTCCCCATTTAATTGATGTGATAATTGGAGAACAGAAATAAGCAAACACTGGCAGAAAGCAGCTGAGGATGTATCAGTCATCAGTAGGTCCAGAACACAAACCCCTGCCTGTCATCCCCTACTTTTACCCTCTGCATGTCTGCCCTGTACCTTGGTCAAAGAAAAAGAGGCTTTTACAAATAAAAGTGGAAGTCTAAAGAGGTAATTTTAAATCTGAATGGTTACAGTATGATGTGTTTTAGGCATTTCTATTTCCATTTCTAAGATAGCCTTACTGACGCTCAGCACAGGCCTGAATTTCAATGATGAAATTTACTGACTCCTGCTATCATGAAACTAAGTTCGGTCCTTGAAAATAAACAAGGTTAAAATGCCATCACATGAAGTTTATGGAAATTTAAAATAAAGGAAGGTGGCTTGATTTCTCTCTCACTGACAACAGCAAATAGTCACTGTCATGCCTTGGCCCAGCTTTCTATTGAAACATTTGCTCTCTGAAAAGAAGTTTGGTACAAAACGTGGTTGTGGTCTTCAGACAGGGATAAGGACATAAGAGTGCAACATTGTTCTGTCTCAATAGACACCAGGAAGTTATGGCAGTAGGATGCATTTTTTATGTCCTAGTAGAAATACCTGCAGTTTCCATTCCAGAGAGGCAGGACCACAGCTCTGTGCAATATGTACTCTTTGATAACAGAAGAGCTGTTTGCCAGTCCTGCTGATTGCTATTCATTTCTTCTCTCCATGGTGACTTCACAATTAGTAGCATCACTCACTATGTTATCTCTTAGTTTAGAAGTCATCAGACATAGTAAATATAAAGCTCCTTTGTTGTGTTGCCAGACAGAAAGTCACTCTTTGTGAGAGAGATACTGAAACATGTCTAGACTCAAACGATTCATGTAGCCCTGCACAAACACCAAGGATAAAAATTTTGTGCCAAATAATGATGCAGCTGAGGTCTGAACAGTCAGTCTAAGTGTTCTGACTGCCATGTTTCTTGCTTAGTACTGCTAGATACTTCCTGGCCAAGCATTTTAATGATTTATAAATGATTCTCTAAATATATGAATGAAGTACAACCCTACACAGACAGAAAAGCTATCAGCAGCTCAGAGACCACAGGAGGACCTCAAGGATCAAAGCATTTGTAGCAAAGCCTAGGGAGAGGAAGAAGTTTTAGTCTTGCCAGCCTGGTCATTTTTCACAGAATGAAAGAACTTAGTAGAAGAAGAGATCAGTTCTATCGTCATTATCCTCAGCCTTCCAAAGCAGGATGAAACTCTTACTGCCTCCCTCCTGCCACCTGTAATGCATTTTCCAGCATTAATGCATAACCTGGTATGTGTCTACTAAGTTACAAACTCATACAAGTCACGTCTGCCCCAGCAGAGCAGAACAAACCAGCAAAGAAGAGAACTCATTTAAGGTCTTCCCTCAGAGACTGGATCACATGTCTCATACTGGGCTATTCAACTAGATCTTGTCTTGTAAAACTGGCCTCTGGCACAATCATCAAGGTGTCAGGACCAGGCCATGAAGTTGCTGAGAACACATTTCTGCCCTCACAAGAGTAAGGTATTTCCTGCCAAGAAGCTTGCTTATGGATGTGTCAGACTCAAGAAGAAGAGGCTTTGTGTCCATTAAAGCACCTCATTCCATCAAGAAAAGAGAGGGGAAAACAAAACTGTTAAAGGCTCTGGCAGAAAGTGTTTGTGTTTGGCTAGAACAGGTATGCCTGAATTAGTGAGCTTAGCCTGCAACACCAAATTCTTAAATTCTAAATTAGTTAACCTAGATGTAACCTAGATGTAGCTTTAACAGCATAGGACTTAGAGATAATTTACATTTCTCCCAGTTTGCATAGTGACCATATAAAAGACAAGTAATTCTATATTCTGTAAAAAGCTGGTAACAGGCGTTTTAATGCTGATCACTACTACAGAAAATCCTGAGTTGTTCTAGAAAAAATATGTTATGACACAATAGATGAAGAACTGCTTCTGCCTTGAATTTCTGCTGATGGGCACTACCAACAAAAACTGCACAACACTCTGCTGGATTCCAGATTTAGAAAAATATCCACATCTGCAGAGACAAGCCAGCCTGGCTTTGTGGATGAGACTGCTCTGCTGCAGGGTCATTTGCAGACTATGAGCAAATAAATGTTTCCAAACTACACCAGAACCCAAACTGTAACTAGGTGCTGCTGTTTTATTTGGGTTTCGCTCTGTTTCAATTAAGTGAGAAGAACCTGACAATTTAAGAGCAACAGAAGGACAGAATGGGAAAGTAGCAGAGGGCAGAGTAACAGAACAGCCAGAGCTCTGTAATGACAGGATGAGGAGGGGACAGAAAGCAGGGCTGCTGATTGACATCACATGCTCTGACAAACAGATTCAAAAACAAATGGATTTTTGCCCCTATCCTTGCAGCTGTTGTCCCCTGCAGCAGTCTCTACTGCCTGGAGAAACAACAGGGAGGACAAATTACTGGATGTATGCACCAATTACAACCAGCTCTGAAAGACTCCTGAACACTGTTGTTTAAATACTGTCTCTGGACCACAGAACATGATATGTACTTGCTTCTCATTTCAGCCCCACCCCTCAGCAAACACAGCTTGTGGGACAAATACTTTTAATTCTGTATTCTAGTCCTACTTCTTTGGCACGTGAGGAGGATGTACTTGCAGAGGAGAAAGGACTTTGATAATTTTTAGAATTCTTTTGCGGATTTGTGATGGCCTAAATATCACTGTGATATTTGAGGGCCCATTTAACCAGAATAGCAGTTAGGGACTTCTGGTGTTTTTTAGCATAGCTGTGGCTAACCAGGTTGCAGTAAGCTTTCTCCATGTGCTAGACAGACCTTCAACTAACTTGCAGAGACAAGACTTTAGGGCAAGGAGGGCTAAAGCTTCAGCCTGATCTGGCTGGCAAACTGATTAAGGGAGAAAAATACCCTGTCCACACAGCTTGCAGGAACTGTGCTTGAGCCCCACTGGCAGAGGCAATCACATTTAGTACAGCTATACTTCCATTACAGAGAGAGCCTTCACAATTTATGTACAGTTTAATCCGATTATTTTTCTCCTCTATTTCTGCCTGACAAACTGTACTTGCAAGGCTCTTGGCTGGAAATCCATGCTAATCAACTTAAGGCCTAGTAGATAAAGCAAAGTTGTTTTCTCTGAGTTGTCAGCAAACCACATTTCATGACTATACTCAAACCTCTGCTAACTTAGGTCATTGGCATCTTCTCAAAATCCAGGAGCAAATAACAAGAGCAGGAAGAAGCAGCAGCTCAAGTGAAGGGAGAAAATGCTGGTGGAACAGTTCACACCAGGGCTTTATGTCTGGGGAACATGGGGGAGGCCAATGGCTCTCTGCAATGTTTATGTAAATTACTTTGTTGATGGGTTTTATCCACCCACACACAAATGACAGTTTTGATTATTTTACCCACAGAATTTTGCTCCCTGCAAACTAAATACCCAGCAACTGCCAGACTACTGAGCAAATGGTATGAGATATATTGATTCTGCAGTGGTAATGATCTTACATTTTTACATAAAGGTTTTCAGGCTTAAGTGTCCATAGGCACACCACACTGAAAAAAAGTACCTCAGGGATGAAACACCACAGCTGCTGGAAAGGCACCATCAAAGAAGGTAAAAACACCAGTAAAGCAAAGCACACTCTTCCTAGCCAAAATTCTAAGCAGCATTTTGGACAGGTTCTAAATATAAGAACCAGATTAGATACCAGACAGCCATTTCTTGGAAAAGGTGGATAGAACAAGTTCTGAAACCATTATCAAAACTATGAATTTCTTTGTCATGAAGTTTACCACATTGCTGGTGCAGGAAAAACTGCTGCACAAACAAATATCTAGCTAATGTAAAACTGTACTGAAAGCTTAGGCTTAAAACCTGTCTGTTGCTAAAAGCCAAATGTCTTTGTCAAGACATCCATTTTCTCTCCCATTGGAAAGCTAATGCCTCACATAATGTCATTTGTAATTGAACTGTGGCTCCATTTACATACTCAGGAGGCAAATGGAGCATCTGAGTCATCAAAACGCCTGCAATTCCCACTCCCATAACTCCTACCCAAATTTTAACCCGAGGCAACCCTTCTTAACCAAAGATCACACTTCAAATCCTGTCTTCACTAAAGGTTTCCTTTATGCATGACACAAGAAATGTGTCATGTCACTGTTTTATGTCTCATACTCTTGCCTGAATGTGGTTGTTACTGCCATTTTGAGGGTTTCTTTTATTTCTAAAATTCAACTGAATTTTAGAGAACCTCGAGGAGTATGGAGTTGAGCACCATGTGAAAGCAGCTGAAGAACAATAGCAAGAGGAAAATTAGAAGGACTTTGATCTTTTACCTTCTCACAGGGCAATTCTATGATCACTCTTCAAACCACTTGAGGGTTAGAGTGAAGGCTCAGAAACAAACCTTTCGCTGCACCTTCAGGACAAGTCCTGCTTCTGGTGAGGGAAGCTGTGCTTACCTCCTGAGTGCATTTGTCAGCTCAGCAGTCAGTTCACTCTCACTGTATGGTCTCAGCTCAGCGAGTGTTAGCGGCGTTGCGGTGCCATCACTGCATTCCTGAGAAAGGAGAAAAAGCCACCTGATTAGAAATTACTGACCATCTTAATGGGAAAATTCTGAAAGCTTCTTAGTTCACAGCTATTTGTAAAAGGAAGGTGAAATAAACTACACAATGCTACAGCAACATAGCAGTGTATCAACATACCAAGGAATGGACTTAACAGATTAATACTTCACAAATGCCTCTAAATGGTTTCTTAAACCACCACAGCTCACTGTGAACTTGCAGAATTCTGCTATTGTGTGCGAAACTGCCACTGCCTTCCTTATATTTCTTTTGACACCACACATGAAACCAAGAAGCACTGGGATCAAAAAATTCAGATGATGTATTGCCAGGAACAAGTAAGTAAGATGTAACTCTCGGTTTTTGTTTTTAAACACATATATTGACATTGACATTTTCTGGGGACACAGCACTAAAACAAGACAAAATAAAGTTTTCCAAGGTATTTATTTCTTAATGAAAATTACTACTGCAAATGCAGAGATCTGTTTATTTTGCATTATTTTTCTTTAAGGGGAGAAGATTTTTCATTCTCAAATTACTACAATTTAACTTGGAGAAAGAGATTGTCATTACAATGTTCTAAATGCTGCACAGAAATGAGTGCTAGTGCTTTCATATTTTGTTTATGGGAAAATGGCATTTTGCTTAGACTTCCTTGCAGTGTTTCTAGTGAGTGGCAAGTGGCAAAAGACATGCTCAACCACAGCAACTTGTATGTTTGGCAAGACTGGCCTTGTGCTACTCAAAGCACTCTTGTTTTAGCTCATGCTTAAACACCAACTCTGCAAAATGCTCAAGTCACAGGCATGGAAAGAACCACCTAACAACCGGGGAAGAGAGAAAAGATCTGTATACAGACCAAAGAGAAGAAAGACTAACATGCTAAAGATTGCAATAGGGATGAGAGGGATTTGATTAATCAGGTTTACAACTTTGGAAACATAGCTTGACTCCCGACCTTGCCCAGTTTATCTTTGCTTCCGCTGCTGGTTGAGCTGAGAGACCTCATTCTCTGCTCTTTTTGTTCTTCCACTTCAGACTTCAAGTGCTCAATATGGACGAGGTAGGCCTGCTCCTGGGCCTCTCGAGTGCTCAGCTTCAATTCCAAAGCCTTCTTCTCCTTCTCCAGCAGATAAAGCTGTGCCTTGAGCTCTGCCATCTCTTCCTGTTGAAGAAACATTGTGTTATTGCATGCTGCTTCATGGGACTAGGTACCTAAAGGAAGATGAGGTTAAACAAGATTTTCATCCACTCTTATAACTGAAGTGTTCTTTTCACTGAAAGAACTATCAGCACCCAGATGACTTTTTATAATCATATTGCATATTTATCAAAAGACCTATATATCTTCACTCTGAGTATGATGAGCTGTGCCACCCCTTTATTATCTTCAGGAATAAGCTCAGAGGCAAATTAGAATTAGACTACGAGGGATCTGAGAGAATTGCCATAGCTGCTGGTTCTCTGGTTCTACTCTGTCCTTCAGAGACCATTGTATTAAAAGCAGAAGTGTATGACTTTGTCAAACAGCTCCCTAAAAGCAAGATTTCAATTTCTTATTGATAAGCAAGAATTCATTTCATTACAGTGGAAGGGCTTTGAGAGAGCAGGACAGCACACAGAGGTTATATATTCCTGCCTTGTAATACCAGCCTCTGTGATAGAATGGGTTACATCAAAAAGAGCAACAGAATGTGGCACCATTAAATGTCTACTTATCATTTCCCTCCTCTAGGTGGCCAGAACACAAGTATACACAACTTGAGCTTGACAGAAAAATGCACTCATATTCCTCTCTAAATACAACCCACAGAAGATGGGCATTGGTACTTGATAGAAAGAAGCTAAATTCTGAGAACTCCTTCTCGTGTGCAATTCTTCTGCTTCCCTAATGCTCCTGACAGGGCTGTCACCTATTGTAACACAGTGTCTGCTGCCTGAGGACAGACTTCTGTTTTAACATCTGTCTGACAGTGGCTGGGCAGAATTTTAAGAGCAGGACATGAGAGCAATGACCCTTCTTACAGCATATGCTCCAAGACTCCCTGAAAAGCAGATGATGAGTTATTCCTGAAGCAGAAGGCTCTCTGTGATTAACAACATTTCAGGAATGTTTCTTGTACAAAATGCCTCGTTATTTTATATACCCAGAAAAACCCAATATTCACAAAACCTTTAAGGAGATAGTACTAATACATAATTTACATGATGTGCTTAAAGACACCAGTAAACAAGCAAAAGACTGCCAAAACAAAAAAAAAAAAACAACCTAGAAGCATGTTTCCACTGTTTAGCTTGCTTTGCCCTAGGTCACTTAATGGGTGAATACTAAGTTCATGCAGACATTTTCTTGTTTGACATTTCTGTTCCAGATTTGTTCACTGTGTAAACACCTCTGAAAGAAGTTTCTTGTTGTGTGGCCAGCCTATGAACAAGTCACTATTTATTTAATTCCAAATAAATAAATAAATAAACAAACAAATAAATAGAATTAATCACAAAAATAACAGGGGTATCTTGCAAAAATCTGCTGTCTGGATTGAAGTGTAAGCAGTGCACACAGGTGTATCACAGCCATAACCATCACAGGTAATCACTGTCTTATTCAGAACAACCAACCATGCAAAAATAAAATCCATATCTTAAAAACCCTGAGGGGCTTGGAAAGGTTTTTATGAGCTTTAAAGTAATTGATTTATTCATCTGCTTGTTTGTGAACTGAAGGTTAGAAGTATAACCAGTTTCATTCAATGTGAGTTACACAAATTTAGTTGTTAGGCAAACTTACCATTAATTGCCTTCGTCAACAGTAAAAAATGTAAATAATACTAATAAAAATGATGGGGAAATTTTGTTATAGGAGTTGAACTGGATGGTCTGATATACTCAAGTGTATGCATTTAACTTCTTAAGCCTCTACTTCTAAAGTCATTAATCTACTTAGCCTTCTTAGTGAAGGCTGAAAAGTAATTTGAGCAGAGTATTTTGACACTTATATGAATAAAAAATACTTTTGGCTGTCTGTGTGGGATAGTCATGACAAGATCTTTCCTGGCTAGAAGATAAAGCTAGGCAAATTCAGCCCAAAAATAAGGGACATCTATTTAGTATAATAAAAAGGTGAATTTATCCACTACAACAATGAATCTGTGGAACAGGTTTTTCTCATCATGCAAAGATTTTTCATAACTTTAACTTATTTTAACATAGCCAAGCTCTAAATAAATTTGAGGATCAATGATTAACTCCTTTGTTTATGAAGACAGTAAGCTTAGATCATCATATATGAATTCAGAAGTTTGCATCCTGTCCCAGAAGACATATCATGCACCTCCCATATGTTACTTTTCGCATGTCAAAACAATGTGACTTGGAAGTTAAGAAGCAAAAGCAAAGCACGGGAAAAGTTAAAAAGCTTGTGTCAGCAAATGTCTTAGGCTCACAGAGAAGGAACAGGAGGGAATGGAAAGGCTGAAGACACTTGAAAATTCAGATGCAGTTGAGGATTGTGGTATGGACACATGCAATGTGTGAGGCAGAGTGGCAGCAGCGATTTTGGGAAAATTCAGGTAGTTCAGGTTTACTTAGAGCAATTTTTTCCATGAAAATAACTTTTCTAAAGACTGCATCTAAATTTAACTGAAATGACAGTGCTTTTGTATATTTACTATTTCCCTTTTCTTCCAGCTACAGGTTGCTGTGAAGCATTTTTGCAGTTTAATACACCTGAATCTTCAGAGTGTGAGCACAAGTGGCATTCACTAAATGAAACCCTGAAGGAGGAGGCAGCAGGTGTCCCTCTCCTAGGGCATTGCAGAAGACTTAGACAATCCATCCAAATTCACAAGCTTCAGTTATTTTGGGACTAATTAAGTGAATATTGAGGAATACTTTGTACTTCCAGTCATACTGTAATCCTGATTTTTGGCAAAAACTTAAATGCAAATTAAAAACTTCAGATTTAAAATAATCAGAAGCACCACAGAATTCTCAAACTCAAAATCAGTATTACATTTGGTCATACCCGACTCAAATGCTGCAAAAAGTTTTGAAAGTCGTAAGAAGTCAACAAACATCAGAGCAGATAAATATCATACTCTACTCAACTGTACTTCACTATTCAAATCTGTAAGAGCATGAAGGCCTGTAACAAAGGTGGACAATGGATTTCTCAACATTTTCCACGGAAAGACTGTAGTCTCAAAGCACTTAATGAGCAACATTATCAACACCTGTACACAAAAGAGGAAAAACTATCAGTGTAGAAAGCTGAGACTTCTTATCTAGACTAAGTCCTTTGAAATGCAGAAAGGCTGTAAAGCAAGAATTATTTACACCCATCAGAAGTAGTCTCCTTGCTAACTGGGGCATGACAACTGACCTCAAAGCAAGACCAGACCACTGAATGATGACAAACCAGGGACTAGAATGTATTTGGAAACATGGTTAATTATTGCTTGAAGCAAAGAATTGAATTTTGTATTAGTACTGACAGACAACTATGTCTTATGCTCTGGATCAGTAAAAAAACAAAACAAAACAAACCCAGGCAGCAGAGAAACAACCCTCAAACCGTCTTTATAATTAATAAAGAACTACTGTTGTAAAGGTATTTCAAACCAATGAAGGGATCAGTTTTTACAGGACACCAGAAATGGCAGGTGCCAAAAGATTCAGCAGAGATTCCCACACAGAACCAAGTTTTGGGAAGACAGCAGGAGATTGTAAGACCCAGCAACACAGGAAATCATTGAGTAGCTTGGTCCAGCTGTATCACCCTTGCTAAGTATGTGGAAGGGAGGGAGCAAATTAAAAATGCTAAACGATGAAGTCTACTGCAGTCCATCTGCTTCAAGTTAAATAAAATACTGCAAGGAAACAAATTCTCTGTTTGCCTCAAAAGTAGGCATATGCATATGCTATTCTGTATAAGATACACCTTTCAAATAATTGATACAAAAAATATACTCAGAAAGCCAAAATGTGTTGGGATCTTAGGTTCAGCTCTGTTCTAGCTTGACAAACAGATGAGGAGCTGTATTACAGACCTGAGCAACAACTATGGAAGCTGACAGGTAAGACATTTGACAAATATGAGTTTTCACAATGTCTCTTTCAGAAACATAAGGTTTTCCTGCAGTTGTGAATTCCAACAAAGTACAAGAAATTACAATGAATAACAGTACTATCAGTTTCTCTGTACTGCAAAGGGCTGAAGGTAACTTCAGACACCTATACAAAATGTGTGTGTATTCTTTATTCACTACACACAACCCAATCAAGAAGAAAATCTTCTTCTTCTAGTTGCAATTCCTACAGTGAAAACCCAATGTTCCAGGTCCAGCCAAATGGATGCCATGTGTCAAAAACAAGTGTTGTGTGAACAGAAGGATTACCAGCACTCAAAAGTGTACCAGAAATAACTGGTGGTGATCCTGACAGTCAGAGAAGGCAACAGCACTACTCACAAGGGATACAGCTTTGCAGTTTGCCCTTACCTTTAAATTAAAATAAAATTAGGAAAATCAAATAAGTTAAAATTTAAAAATAGAGGTAAGAATGGTGTACAAGAGACTTCAGGGAAGATCTGGATGCAAAAAAGGGGGAGGAAGTGTGATATCTGAAATACACATCTAATTATCTACCAACATCTTACAGTACATCTTGCAGGCTTTAGTTATGGGGAATGTATTGCTATTTGCCACAGTGTATTCAAACAAGTAACATAATTTTACATCTCCCAACTGCTAGTAAGCAATGTTTTCTGAAGTCCGATTAATGAATGCATTATTGCAAAACTGTATCTGTCATCATGGAAAAGCAGCACCACTAAGAACATAATTATCAACACTTGGCTACCACTTAGCCAGAAGCAGCACATCTGAGCAAAAATCTATAACTTTAGAAGCCAGTGAAATTATTAGGATTTGCTGTCCCACACAGTACCATCACCTGACATGTCTGAAATCAGTTGGCTAAATTAGCACTTGCTAAAATACAGAAATTAAACTTACTTAAATTGTACCAAAACCAGACAAATTCTGAATGCAGACATACACCTGGTATTGCCTTTGGTATGTTCCAGTGTTTTAGTTCACCTCTCAAAATTAATACAGAAGACAAAACGATGTAAGCTCTACACCTGGTCAGTAAAGATCAGCTTTTCTGTATCACATCTTTAGAGTTGGACATATAAACCAGGGTTCTCTCCAAAGCTCTCTGTTAATGCAAGTCATAACACACCTTTGCTGAGACTCTGAACTGAGGTACAGGCTGCAACACAATGCCTAGAACAGCTCTGGACTTGTGACCAACTGCCAGAGAGCATCAAGGATGACATTTGACAGACCATTCCTCCTCCCACACCAATATTAAAAGCAGCTGAATTTGTTCTGCTTCAGTTCACAAATATTCATGATGCACATTTGCAAGCTCATAAGTAATGAACTGTCTCTTGGGAAGTGCTGAATCATGTTTTTTGGTCATCCTTGAGCAATTCAGCTGCCATAACTCTCACAGAGAGCATCTGGTTTGTCAAGAAGAGCACTCCAAGTTTAGAGACACAGATGAAGTCCTCCCAATTCAGAACACACATAGCTCATCACTGTTAATGCACTGCCTTCTGTCACTTTCTGACTACTGGATTTTCAGTCCAGATTATGTGTTACAACAAAGTTATCCTTAATTACCGAGTGACCATTATCAGAGCCTCCCATGTGTGTGACTGAGCACATTTTGTGATTTAGGGGCATTGCCAGCAGAGCAGCTCCCCTCTTGGTTATGAATTAAATACCTTCATTGCCATGAGTTCCTGCATCAAGACTGCATTTTCTAAGTCCAGCCTCTGGCTGTCTCCACGTGGCTTAACATCATAACTAAGGGGATCAATGTGGATGCTTTCCAGCTCCAGCATTGTCAGTTTCACTGCTGCTCTGTCGTTTTTCAGCTGCTGGATGTAATCCTTCAGCCGCTGCTCATCCTCCTTTGTAAATTCTGTGTCACAACTGCTTGCAGTTGAGCTGGTAGTACTGGAAAGAGAAAAAATGGTATTAGAAAAAAAAAAAAGTTTGAAAAAAAAAATCTTAATTTTTACATCAAACACCCTCCCAATACCTCATTAATGCATCTCCATCTTAAAAGTTCACACAAAGGACACAGATGAAGTATGGACCGGACATTGCAATGTGAGGTGTGTGAAGTTCAGAAAAGAAATTAACTCTTTAAGCAGCATGAGAAAATTGTATCATGTGAGAACTTCTCTGCAAAGCCAGATATTTATTGATGTGTAGCAAAATTACCAACTGAAATGGTGTCTTCTGAAAAAAAGTGTGGGATTTTTATTCAAAAAGGAAAAAAAAAAGCTACTTAAGAGTTCTTAGTAGTAACATAGCACAGCAAGCTGCTCAGACACTGAGTATTCATCTTCTTTGAGAAGAAGGATCTGCTAAGAAAAAAAGAATGAACCCAGACTTGATCTATCTCTGCTGATGACCATACCAGTTATCACCTCAGATATTTTAATGGATACTTCTAGGAATCAACCTGAGCAAAATTCCACTGGCAGATGCCAGGAGAACTTTCAGTTCACATGAAGGTGAACTCCTCAGCATACTGAAATTCCTTCAAGGCTAAAGTGACTTCAAACTAACCCACAGAATAGCAGGAATTCTAATAAAAAGTCATTATAAAAGACTTCAAGGTCTAGTTGTATCTTCTGAACAAATGAGGGCCCATTACTCTGCCCCATAAGTGTTTACACAGGGATTGCAGAAAGGGGCAATAATGCCGATAGAGCAATGGTGGCTGAGTGCTACCTACCCACCACCACGCATGCCAGTGCTGCTGCAGGCCCAGACTGACACAGCTGTAGCATTCCAGGGCTGAATATAGTTGCAATAACACTAAAAGGAAAATAAAATGCCAAGTTGTTTCTACAGCCTCACTCAAAGCTGCCTGCTGTCTCCTGAGGTCCTGTAATCAGCTGCAGGGTGAGGGATAAGTCATCCATTAACTGTGCCTGTCTGGAATGCTAGATGATCTCAGTTATCACCAGGGGAATAAATCACTTTCTGTATCAAATTGCACTGCTGTTCAACATTTTTGTACTAAGAAAAATGTCCCATCCGCTAGATGCTGTGAAAGCCAGGATGATGTCCTAAAATATTATGCATGTGCAAAGGGGAAGCCTATCAAGATAGGCTTGATTTTGTTCTTTGGTTCTACTTCAGCTAAAGCTACATTGATTTTAAAGTGCTTCAAATAATTGCTCATCTTCTCACAAATTCCAAGCACAGCCTTGGAGAAGATAGAGAATTGGCAGGTCTCTGAATATTTCTCAAAATCCTCCCTCCCATGAAATATTGCATTACAGCTCTTTACTACAATTCTGTGTTAATTTCACATTATTCCCTACTTTTCTGAGGGATAAGAGGTTCCTGCCATGGTCGACACAACTGTGAACTGGTGTTTTGTTTTCATCCATTTCCTTCATTAAATGGAACTTAAGAGCATTCAGTACCTATATACATAGAAACACCCTCAGGCTGAAACAAATTTTTGTTCATACTGTTTCTTGATTAGAAAACTGTGAAACACTTAATAAATCCTGCTTTACTGAGCCTAAAGGCATCTTACTGAATTAGATATTTATATAAAAATAATGACAGACAATGTGAAAAGTACTTAATCCTGTACTGAAGTCATATTGTAAGTTTCTTCCTCAGCACCCGAAGACTGCAATTGCAGAGATTTTCTGGATTAAATGTAAAACAGCTGTTGTTGCAGGAAGGATAGCTTTAAAAGTCTTCAAATCTTGGGGCACAGAGACCTCATCTCAGTTTTTGCTTGAAAAGGTAAGAAAACCCAGCCATCCTGCTGCAAATGACACCTGAGCAAAAAAATGCTGAAAGTTTATTGTTATGTTGAGCTGGACCCCATACTCCATGCACATTCACAGATTTTGGCTCTTGAAGACCCACAGCTGTGCACATATGTGTTAGGGGAGTGCAGTCCAAACTGAGGAAGGCTGTCTGGGCTGTTGCCAGTGATACTCAGGCTGCTTTTACTTCAGTCCTGGCTGCCTGCCTGCCTGTCTGCAGCTGAGTTGGCTCCTCTGATGAATTGCTAGCAAACTGCTCTTCTTCTACGTTTCTTTTCTTTAAAGAGTTGGAGAGAGCTCAGCAAGGAACTTGTATCTCAGCCAGGACAGAAGAGGACAAGAACTTATACCCTCCCCCTGCATTTAGCAGCGCATCCCCACCCAGAAGACTGGAAGCAGCTGGGGTAGGAGGGACAGAAACAGCACTGCAGTGTTTCTGATCTCCCCAGCAACTCTGCCAGGGTGTGCTGCCCCAAAAACCCCACCAAACAGCTCTGCACAGCCACAGAGCTGGTCTACTACTGCTCTCTTTAAGGGATGACAGCTGGTGAGCACCTCATCCTGAATTTCTGATATTGCTTTCCCTTCTGAACAGCAATCAGGACAAAGGAAAACATTTATAGTATAACACAACCATCCAAAAACGACAGGAAACTGTTGCAAAAGATGTGCAGTTTTTCATTTCTCAAGTGTTTAGGTAAGGACAGAGAAAGGATCACAGTTTCATCACAGCTGGAGGGAATACAACATCAATCTGCCATTCTCACAGATGCTATATCAGAACAAGAAAAGAGAAATGTTCTTCATACTTGCTTCATTCCTCAAGTCTTTTATAATGATGTCATGCCTGGGTGATGTCAAATTAATTTTAATTCATATACAATATGTGGAAAATATGTGGGCTGGTACAGCATAATGTCAGTCTTATTTGCTGGCACCAGTTTGAGTGTATAAAATGCAGTGGGTAAACATAAAAGAGGCTTTCAGCAATGCTTCTCTGTTAGTTTTTGCACAGTACAAAAATTTATCCATAAATTTGCACAGTACAAAAATTTATCCATAAAACCCTTTATGAGCATCATTTTATCTGTTAAAAATCAAGTCAGTAATAGAATATATTTGCAATTAAGCAATGGTGTGTACAATACAGTTGGTAGGATTGATATTAACATTGTCAGAACTGAATCCATGAACTTGCTTGAATACCTGCACACAACCTAAAGCTTGCTTTAAAGAATGCAGCTGATCCACAGTACACACAGCCCAAACACCATCTTTCCAGTTGAACATCATGGTTTGATATCTGGGACAACACAATTCCAGAAGGTAGTAACTTCCCGAAAAACTGAAAAGCACCCCAACCAGGCAAAAGACAAACAACAGCTAAAATCAGAGGCTTTAGTAAACTGCCCTGCTTCCTGCTGAGACTGCTTCAGTCCAGCAACAAAGTGTTACACAGATGTCATGGAGTTACTTTACCTTTAAGGGAGTTGGAGTTGCTGGGAAGTGCTTGGAGTCTTTTCTCCTGACCAATTATCGGTCATTGCTGGGAATTGACAGCAGTTTAGGCCATTGAAAAGTGGGATCAACTTGTGAACCCTACCTTAAAATGTAAAAGCAGAGCTCTCTGAGCTCTCTTTGTTTCCTGGCTGTGAAGGGTGGCAGAGCTCCAGGCCTCCCGTCCCTGCCCAGGCCATGCGGCCGGGCAGGGATGGGGCCGGGCCTGCCCCGTCTCCCGGCCGGGAGATGGGGGGGCCTGGGGAAGGTTTTCCTCGGGCCCCAGGCCGGGCCGGGCCGATCTCTGGCTCGGCTGCAGGTTTTGCTGTAACTACATTCACTAGAAACTGCCCAGTGAAGAAAGAGAGAGGCCCTGGACTTGCAGTGGGCTGGAGCAGCGACCACACGCTCCAGAGCAGCTATGAAGAACTTTCCATCGCAGACGGCTCCAGCTCCTGTTCGGCAGAGATCTCCGAACCATCTACAAAAACCTGGGCAAGATTTTAACTCTTTTATTACTCAGATGAGACTTGCGGATTAATCTTTTTATCCAGAGAGAGAAAAAGAGAGTGATCAACATGGAAAGAGACTTTATAAACTACCAGTGACAGGAAAGAAAAGAAGCTTCAGGAAGGGTAGAGAATTAAGAAGATGCTTTAATTAAGCTGAAATATCTTTCTGTTAAAACTATGGAGATGGACAATGAAGTCCTGAAAAGAACTCCTTTAATTCATGATATAAGATCTAGAGAGGAATAGTGTTCAAAGTGTAAATGTGAGTAAAGAGTAATTATGGTATAGTGAAGTGCTGGGAGATTTGAAGCCTTGAGAGGCAATGAGAAAACTGTTGAGAGATTTGAAGCCTTGAGAGGCAATGAGAAAACTGTTTTCTGGTGAAGCTCACAGAAACAGATGAAGAAGACTTTTTTTTGCCTTTGAATAACTTATCCTTAAAAATGCTATCTCTAGACTCATGGCCCATACATACTTCAGAGTGATGTGAAAATGGGAGGAGTGAACTCTAATAATAGCAGCTCTGAGCAGCTAACATTAGGGCAACAGAAAACTATAACAAAAATAGTTTTCTTGTGAGAAACTCCATAAATTAACAGGAAGAAACTTCTGTTTCTCTATAAAGACTGGTAAAAAGACCAGCAAGAATTGAGACTGTTTTAACCACCAGAGTTCCAGAGTTTTTGTCTCTGTTGTCATGTGAACAAGGGAATAATAGGTAGATAAGAGATGGAAAGGTTTTTCTGGAAGTTTATTCTGGTGTTCTTATTATTGTGGTTTGTCAATAAACTTTCTTTTTTTTCCCTTTTAAGTTGTATGCCTGTTTTGCTCTTGTTCTAATCCATATCTCAC